AAAAAAAAAAAAAAAAAAGACTTGCCCTATCAAAAGTTAAAACAGACATAAATTTTTATTATATAATTCACATAACACAATATTAAGTGTACTATTCAGTGTTCAGTGGTTTTTAGTACATTCACTATTTGTGCCACCACCACTTTCTGATTCCAGAACATTTTCATCACCCCAGAAATAAACCCCACACCCCTCGGTACTCACTCCCCATTCCCAGCCTGGGCTAGCCACCAATCTGCTTCCTGTCTCTATGGATTTGCCTCATCTGGACATTTCATATAAAAAGAATAGACAGTATATGGCTTTTGTGCCCAGTTTCTGTCATTTTCGTCATAACATAACAGACATTTTAGAAACCCAGGGGCGCACAGCGCACATTCAGTTCACCTTCAGAGTGGTGACGTCCTCACACATCACACGCACTCATTGCAGAACAAGAGGAACAAGGCTAATTCATTTTAGAGTCATGGAAATAGTCCTGTGGACCCCCTGGAAGTATCTTAGGGACCCTTGAGAACCAGTACCCTAGGCAAAAGGCTTCCCTTCTAAGCCTCAGTTTGCCCATCTGCAAAGTGAGGATGGTGATGGGACAGACTAGAGGGTGCGTGAGGTTGGACGATTGGTGAGACGGGCACGGAGAGTTGGCATGCGGTCAGGGATCAAGCAGCATTCCTTTGATTATTCCCATTATTTCCTGGCAAGGTAAAAAAAAAAAAAACAAAAAACAACTCTCTCTAGCTGTTCCCCTCTCTCTTAGAGAGGAAAATGTCCCGGTCCGTGAAGCCAAAGACATAGAAATACCCTGTTCTTGGCCACAAGACAAGCAGCTCAGTGCCAAATACCAAAGAGGGTCAAGGCAGTTGACAACTAAGAATAGAGTGGGGAATTTGTCCATGGGGAGGTGAACTCGACCTTCATGAGTGGTAGTTGGGGGGGCTGGGCGGAAGCCAGGGGGCCAGGGCGGAGGAGCGGGTGGCAGGTGAGGAGGGCAGGCAGCAGGTGCTGGACACCTGCTCAAAAGCTTGGGGGTGAGAGGAAGTTGGAAGAGGGGGCTGTGGGTTTAGGGGTGTTTTACCAAGGTTAGCTTCTGCAAGCAGCACAGTGGACACTTCTGGGGGGTAGCAGTCCTCTGTATCTCCATTGGGGGGTGGCTACAAGGGTGCATACGTTTGTTAAAATAGAACTGCATCCTTAAGGTCTGTGCATCTGTTCTGTATAAATAAACCTAAAAACAAAAATTGGCTTCTGGGAAGAAGCCACCAGTAGGGGGCGAGCGAGATCCATAGCTCAGAGAGAGGTTTGTTTCGTCTTGAAAGTGAAAAGCAAGTTTCTGAAAGTAACCAGACGGGGGAAATAAAGACGAAGTTGCCCTTTACATTTGGGAGCCCTTGGTTATGTCGCCCCCCCCACCTGCATTCCACCCCACCCCGGCCTCTGCATCATCCTTGAAGCCTGAGAGCCAGAGAATATTTCCTGAACACCCACTGTGTACCAAGCTCTGAGCATGACCTCATTTAATCCTCACAGCAGTCCAGTCCCATCAGCTAGATCCCCTGGATATCCCCATTTTTTACCAAAGGAAACTGAGACTTAGAAAAAGATCACCAGTCTAGAGTCACATTGTGGGGGGGGGCAACCTTGGACTCAAGCCCAGGCAGGTCATATTGCTTAATCCTCCGGTACACTGATCATATAACCCCTTGTTTCATTTATTTATTCTTACTTACCCCCTAGTCGGCCTCCTCCCCTACATGGGCAACCATTCTAATATGTGTGATTCTTTTGTTTGTAGGTGGTCTTTAAAATGTATCATTTGCGCACATGTAGGCTGTTAGTGATCTTTAATTTCTCACTTTTTCCACCCAGCATTGTGTTTTTAAGATCTACACGTGATGCTTTGTGTATGCCTAGTCAGTTGCATCTCAGGGCTTGGTAGTCTCCATGATGGGTAATTACTATCCATTCTCCCAGGGAGGGAGGACATTCAGTTGCCCTTGACTCCCCTTTGGTGTAAATGACACCGCTGTGGAATTGCTCCCTGCTGGGCGTCTCCCTGCTGGGCGTCTCTGAGAATGTCTTTGGGGCACACCCCCCCTGGTGAAGTGCCTACACTCCCTTTGCTGAAGTACTGACAGCCTGTTAGGGGATGGCTGGCCCTGTCCTCTTTTCCCCAGGTGTCACCGCAGGGGACCAACCCATCTCCACCGCCTTGGTCTCACCCAGCTTTCAGAGCTTTGCCCGCCAGCCTTGTGACAGATGTAAACTGGTATCTCACTGTAGCCCTCATCCGAGGAGAGTCTGAGCACCTCTCCATACACTTGTTGGTCCCTGACCTGCTTCCGTCTGTTGCTTCTTCGTATCCTTTGCTCAGTTTCCTGTTGGGTAGCTGGCTTTTTAATGTTGACTTGCCAGTTTCTTGTACAGTCAGTTCTACTCTGATACTTGTTTTGAAACCTCAGAATTTACTCCAGTGCGATTGATACACTGGGGATCAATTTGAGCGCAAAGCAGATTTCACCTTGGCTTACCTGTGAGTTCATCCATGAGAAAGCGAACCCAGAAACTTGCCCTCAGTTGTAATGAGCATGTAGGCAGACGGAGCGCATGTGCACACACCCCCTGAACATCAACTGGGCGCCTCAGGACCCCACGTGTACAGAGCCACATCCATCCACAGTTGGTGCTAGAACTGTCCATCAGCTTGGCCAGAGTGGCTCAGTTGGTTGAGCAGCATCCCAGGACCGAAAGGTCACCGGTTCTATTCCCAGTCAGGGTACATGCCCGGGTTTTGGGCTTCATCCCCAGCAGGGTGTGTGCAGGAGGCAGCCGACCGATGTTTCTCACGTAGATGTTTCTCTCTCTCCCTTTTCCTTCCTCTCTCTCTAAAATCAATAACAACATTTAAAAATAAATAAATAGAACTTTCCATCAGATTTCAGATAACTCCTCCCACCACCTCACACTAACGCACAAAGCACACCCCTGCCCACACCCACTTCTGCATACAAACTCCAGGTCGTTTTCAAAGCAAAGCGACGTTTCTTTTTTGGAAGGTACAGGAATTTCTTAAGCATGTAAGGTGTGTAAAACTGTCCTCCCCAGCCCCACCACCAACTTTCCCATCTGGGGCACAAATCAGCTCTGAGGGCCATGGGGGTCCCGTCCTCCCTGTGCGGGCTCCCTCTGGCCACCACAGCCCTCCAACTCTTCCTCCTTCCCGCAGGATGACTCGGCATGGCAAGAACTGCACGGCTGGTGCCGTCTACACCTACCATGAGAAGAAAAAGGACACCGGTACTGAGTTGGGGGGGCGGGACAAATACACCTCGAAGTCACCATCTCACTGGGCACCTCTGATTGTGCTTTCTGCGTGTGTCTCTCTTCTCCAGTGGATGGTCCTGACCACATAAGTGACAGTCCACATGACCCAGCAACCTGTCCCCCAATGCTCCCCCCACGCGATGGGCACTGCATAAAGTACCTCTGAACCCATCTAATCCTCTGGGAGGGGTCACTGTTGCCATAGCAATATTCCCAAGGAAGAAATGGAGCCCAGAGACGTTCAGGCTCTTGAGCTTGGTCACAGACCCAGAGGGCTGAGGGGAGTCTGTTGCTTACCCTCTGGGGTTTGTGCAGCCCTTGCCCCAACACAGAAACACACATACACAGCCCTCTTGACTGCTTGTTTCTGAGTCCCCTCACCTCCACGTTCACCTCCGAGTTCTCTCTGCCTCTCTCTCAGAACATGGGGAGAGGCACGTCTCCTCTCCCTCCATCTGTTTTCTTGTCTGTGTCCCCAGCGGCCTCAGGCTACGGGACCCAGAACATTCGACTGAGCCGGGATGCTGTCAAGGACTTTGACTGCTGCTGCCTCTCTCTGCAGCCCTGCCATGACCCCGTTGTCACGTGAGCTGGGAACATGAGTGGCGAGGGCCAGGGAACCACAGGGAGGGGTATGAAGGAGTGGGTCTAGCCACCCATGGGGAAGCCATGGACATCTCAGATTCTGGGTCCTCTTCTGAGAGATGGGTGATCCTAGTGTGTTTCATGGGGGGGGGTGGAAAAGAATACGTTTGTAACAGAGGGAGGGCTCTTGGAACATTGCCTGGCCCATAACAACAGCTCACGGGTGGAGCACTTTCCGTTACCTGCCGTTATCTGCCTCTATGACCCAGCAAAGGCTCCTGCGAGAGCACAAGTATAAGGTACTTAGTCCAGGGACTGACTGCGCAGTTGGTTGCAGGTCTATTTTATAGAGAGTGATGAGAGCAGACTGGTTCAGGGTCCCCACGGCCACCTTCAGGTTCACTGAATCCCTAGAAGGCCTCACAGAACTCAGCAAAGCTGTTACACTCACAGTGACAGTCTGTTAGAGGGGAAGGATACAGATTAGAATCAGCAGTGGGAAAAGACACGTGGGACAGAGTCCAGGAGAGACCAGGCACCAGCTGCGGGTTCTCTCTCCCAGTGGGGTTGCCAGGAACAGCACTTAATTCCCAGCAACGCTGTGTGGCAGCTCACACGGAATATCGCCCACCGGGGACGCTCATCTGAGCCTCAGTGCCCAGGGTTTTTATTGGAGGTTGGTCACACAGACATAGCTGACCACCATGTGGCTGACCTTAGTCTCCAGCCCCTCCAGANAGGGACGCTCATCTGAGCCTCGGTGCCCAGGGTTTTTATTGGAGGTTGGTCACACAGACATGGCTGACCACCATGTGGCTGACCTTAGTCTCCAGCCCCTCCAGAGGTCAAGTTGATACCATGTGGCCCAAGCCCTCAGGTGAACAAAGACACTCTTTCAGGTAGGACACCCCGGGGCTTAGAGGTTCCCTCCCATAAGCTCATGGAGGGCCAGTCATATGGAAGATGCAGGATTTGGCCAACTCAGGCCTGCTGAGTAACCCTTCTCTGCACAAGTTTGTCCCTACGTGTCATAGTGGATAACGGAGCAGGGAGGATTAAAACAGCGTGGTCCCCTCAAGCAGCTGGGTGAGCCGCTGCCTGTGAGCCACCAGTGGGTGCCTCAGGCAGGGAGCCAGTGTTCAGCGTGTGCTGAGGGCCTGGCCAGGCCTGTTTTCCCATCCCTGCCTCTCTCTGCAGCCCAGATGGCTACCTGTATGAGCGCGAGGCCATCCTGGAGTACATTCTGCACCAGAAGAAGGAGATCGCCCGGCTGATGAAGGTGATGAGGGTGGGAGAAGGGCGCACAGAGTGTGTTGGTGGTTTTGACGCCGAGCTCACCAGCAGAGCCCCACCGGGCCTTTGCCTCACTCACTGCCCCCCCCACCCCCGGCTGCCCGCAGGCCTACGAGAAGCAGCGGGGCGCCCGGCGGGAGGAGCAGAAAGAGCTGCAGCGGGCGGCGGCGCAGGACCAGGTGCGGGGCTTCCTGGAGAAGGAGGCAGCCATCGTGAGCCGGCCCCTCAACCCCTTCACGCCCAAGACCGCTTCTGGGACCGGCCCAGGTGAGGGCAGCCGGCCGGCATGGGTGCGGGGCCCCTAGGGCCAGGTGCTTAACCTAGTGCGGCTTTGGAGCCCCACGTCTTTTCCCGTTTGTCCTTGTAGATGATGCCCAGCCCGGTCCCAGCACCGGCCCCGCGGGCAAGGACAACGACAAGGAGAAAATGCTGCCCAGCTTCTGGATCCCGTCCCTGACCCCCGAGGCCAAAGCCACCAAGCTGGAGAAGCCAGTGAGCCCCCCGGCCAGCGCGCCCCGCTGCGCCCGCTGTGGCTGTCCCGAGGGCACCGTCCTCCCCGCACCTGGCCCAGCCCTGCCTCTCCCTCCCACAGTCCCGCACAGTGACCTGCCCCATGTCTGGGAAGCCTCTGCGCATGTCCGACCTGACACCCGTGCGGTTCACGCTTCTGGACGGCTCGGTGGACCGCGTGGGGCTCATCACGCGCAGTGAGCGCTACGTGTGCGCCGTGACCCGGGACAGCCTGAGCAACGCCACGCCCTGCGCCGTGCTGCGGCCCTCGTGAGTCACCTGTGGGGGGCCTCGCGGTCCCCGGGCTGGGGGGGCCCTCCCCCTGGGGCGGCGCCTCTGATCGGTGTCCCCACCCTTCCCCTCACGCAGTGGGGCCGTGGTCACCCTTGAGTGCGTGGAGAAGCTGATTCGGAAGGACATGGTGGACCCTGTCAACGGCGAGAAGCTCACAGACCGCGACATAATCGTGCTACAGCGGGTGA